CCCTGTCTTCACCAGCTCCAGGCCGCTCAAGAAGCGGCTGTTCCGCTCCCGGGCCGCGGCCAGCGCCTCAGTCTCCGGCATCTGCTCCTCGCCTTTCTCCGCCGCGGGAGCGCCGGCCGCCGCCATGATGGCGACTCGGCGCAGCAGCTCCGGGCCTTTCCGCTTTCTCCGGAAACTGCCGGAGAGGCTTCGGCTCCCTCCGGAAATCTTCGGAACCTTTCGGATGTGCTAACGCCGCCCCCTCCGCTTTCCGCTCTTGTGGAAGCCTTTGCTGTCCCTCAGGACGACTCTTATGGCCCCGCCCCCGGCCTTCGGCTATCTCCGTAGAAGCTCGTCAATTCTCGGGAAGCAGTTTTTGGTTTTGGGGATTTTATTTGCGCCCCTCGTCGACTCTCTGGAAGCCCTCCGTGACTCCCACGACCAACTCTTGGGCCCGCCGGCCAATTCTTCGGCTCTTTCCGCTCTTTCCGGAAAACTTCGGCTCCTCCCGGGAAACTGGTATTGAATGCTCTTTCGCTTCTCAGGACGCTGGATCCCGGAACGCTTGGCCCTCGCTAGTAGTCATTTTGGAAGTCCTCCCCTCTTGGTCCCTCAATTCCCCTCGAACGGGAGCTCGCTCTAGCTGGAGTCAGGCTAAAAAGCTAAGATAATAACAACTCCCATCTGCTGAGTGCATTCGGAAGTAATAAGGTTAGAGGATACAAACCCTCTAACTAAACAGACAGTTGAGACAGGGCAGTGGGCCTGGTGAGCTTGGGAACGTAAGGGAGCTCAAGGAGAGCTTTGCAAAGACAGAAAGAACCTAATCTTTCTGAAGTGGGAGTAATTAAACTTTGTTTCGTTACAAAGCTAATACAGGTTGTAACATATTCTTACAATCAGTACACAATTTGGTACACACAAAAATCAAACACTGCCTAGCGCCCCCACCAATCCATGCCACCTTCATTGTATAAAGTTTCCAGATTTTTCAAAATTTGCCGGATACAACGTGTGCTTGACGGAGGTGGTCACCAGCAGTTCCTTCTCCTCCGTTTCTCCATCCTGTTGGGATCTGGGGAATATGCACACAGGCCTCGTGTACTTTTCAAGCTGTTAGACTACATGGGAGTCCAGCGACATAGCCATTATGCTAACTGCTGGTCCCATTGCCCAACTTTCAAAAGGCAGGAGGTTCCTGATGCCATTTAGTCATCTTATGATACCAGGGACAGGGATCTCTCCATCCTTGTGCCTCACCAGCCTCAATGAGTTGTTTTGGTTCTTACGCTTGTTGCCTGTGGTCACACAATGGCCACTAAAGTGACATCTCGTACAAAGACATAGAACACCTGGCTAAAGAAAGGAGGCACTGTCTTCTGTACATGTCCCTTTTCTTGTTGTTGGAGAGTGCTTACACTCACCAGAGAGAGACAGAGAGACAGAGAGAGGGAGCCAGAGTGGGAGAAAGCACCGTCCAACGGGGCATGGTCACACTGCAATTCCTCCTCCTCTATTTCAGATTTGGGATTTTGGGTGTACGTACACACTCGGTGTGTGTGTTTTTGTTTGTTTTTGTTTCAAGCTGCCAGGGCCAGGATTTGAACATATGGTTGGCCAGATGGGCTCCAACTCCCTTAATCACTGGACCACCAGACAGCCTGTATACCTCTCTTTATTTGGGAGAAAAACATTTGTTGAAAGACCATCCCCCTTCCCATCAGATTTCCCCTGCAGGATATTGGCCATGACTGGCTGTTACGTGTGGCTTAGCTGCAGAGGGAGCCAGAAAGGTGAGGGTCCAGCACCTTCAGTCTGTCGATATAAGCAAGAAAGAAGAGAGCTGGTATAGCCACTGCAGAGGCAGCCCCAAGTGTCACCCGAAGTGAGTAGACTGCAGATGCTGGTCATGAGAGTGCCCAGTGAAGAGCAGACACTCTTCATGTGCTCATTTGCTTTCTTCACCTCCAGTCATCGGGGCCCTATTTGAAATACTAAAGAAAGGCCCTTTGGACTGAGGGTTGCCATGACACCACACTCTCTCCTTTGGCCCTGCGGTCCCTGGGCTTCATTCATACACAGGGCAGGTCACCTTTTCAAACATCAGACCCTTTATGTTGCCATCATGTGGTTTCCAGCAACTTTCATCAGGCCAGACTATTCAAAGCTCACCCAGAACCAATTCTATTTATAACGCCCTATTTCCCAAGTTTGTGGCTTCATTATCATAACTGTTAGTGTCCACACAGCCATCTCTATGGTTAACAAATTCGTCAGAACCCCCCTGCTTTTAAAATCTACAGTGCAGACGTAGTCAGCTAGAACCAGGGTTGCTGTTCTGACCATAGTCAGGAACCTCAGTTTCAAAGCCTTCACTGGTTCTCTACTGCCTTAGGGAAGAGACCCAATGACCCCGTCTAGGACCCCTGAGTGTTCTCCAGACCCACCTCCCATTTACTTTCTCTTGATCTCCTGCCATGCTCCCTCTTGCCACAAGACCTTTGCACCTGCAATTTCCTCTGCCAGACATGCCCTTCCCACCCCTCTGTTGTCTAGACCCATGTAGGCGTCCTCCCATTCTCACCCCAAGTGTCCCTTCCTCAGGGAAGTCCTTCCTGACCTCTCAGAGGAGAGGAAATCCAACTTGCGTAAGCTCCAGTCCCTGCAAACCTCTCCTCTGCCTTTGTGTCACGTATCCCCTTTTTTGTATGTCATGTGATTCCCTGATGAGTGTCTTCCTCCCCCACTATTAGCTAGGCAAGAAGCTGGCCATTTTCCCATACCATTGCGTCATCCTGAAGAGGAGAGGTCACATTGCCTAAGAGTGTAACCATGATAAAACAAACAAAAACTGTATTGAAATATTGTCTCCTCTTTTTTTTGGCTTGACAAAGTTGGGACGAGTGGAGTAGACAGCTTTTTTTGTTTGTTTGTTTACAAATACCGGACAGGTTAGTTTGAGGTAGGAGTGGAGATCCAAAAGCCTCTAAATAAGAAAATGAGATGATCCCGGTGCTGGAAGACTGGCTAGTATCTGGTGGGGGTGGGAGGACTTGACTGTATTGATTGTATTGTGTAAAGGTCTTAAGTGAAAACTTAATTCCTTCTTGGTATCCCAGGGTGGGGCCTTTGCCTCTGATGATGTCATTAGGGTTGAGGCCTTATGTTTGAGACCCAGGGGTATATGCACAGAAGAAATGGAATTAGAATGAGACACTAAAACTTAGGGACAGCTGTTCTGCTCAAGATCCAGCAGCGCTGGCCACATTGCAGCCTCACCGGAAGTTGGCCTCTAAACTTCAGACCCCCAAATTGTGAGCTGAATAAACTCTATTTCCTTGTCAATTCATCCTGTCTCAGGTATTCCTGATAGCAATGAAACAATGGACCACGTCTCCCAAGACAATGAGAAGACATGAGAAGAAAGCGATAAGCGAAGTAAGATTAAGGCTGGTCAGGATATTCTTCGTTTCGATGTTCCCAGAAGCAGATGGTAAAACTGATTCAAGCTTATATTTGGGCTGTCATCCCAAGAAATACCAAGAGAGGAATGAGGTAGGGACAGGAGGCCGTCTCCCAGGACAATGAGAAGACATGAGAAGAAAGCAATAAGTGAAGGATTAAGGCTGGTCAGGATATTCTTCGTTTCGATGTTCCCAGAAGCAGATGGTGAAACTGATTCAAGCTTATATTTGGGCTGTCATCCCAAGAAATACCAAGAGAGGAATGAGGTAGGGACAGGAGGCAGTCAATAAAAGGTGGGCTGGTGAGCAGGTTTCCACTCTGGGCGACTGGAACTCAGTCCTGCTGGGGGACAGGAGCTACTGTAGAGGACTCACCTCGGACCCATGAGGCAAAGGAGCTGGGTAGTTAGACACGACCTGGACAGTCTTGGGTTGAGGGGTGTCTCCAATAGGCGTTACTTCTTCTGTGCTCCTGGTCTGTCCTGGGGTGGCAGGTAGGGCCTGCGAGAGCCCCAGAGGCTGGCGTTAGCCCTGGCCGTCAGCCAGTGTACATCCAGGACAAGTCAGGGGTGTAGCACTGACTGTGTGCCCCACCAGGTCACATTTTGCGTTATTCATGACTATGGTGAAAGCGAGTGACAAAAACAAGTTTAAACAAAAAAGGAATTTATTTTATTGTAGAGGCAGCTGAACCCAGAGGATTAGCTAGTGCTGTCTGAATTCATATCTGGCTGGCTGTCAAACGCTGCTTGCTACTTTAATGTCTTTATCTCAGTAGGCAGAATACGTTTCTAGCACACATAGGTACTCAACAGAGTTAAATAAGTAAATGAACTCCTCCCCCTCCATGTGGATCAGGCTTGGTTTATCAGCATAGCTCAGCTACTCCCAGCGGTGGTATTGGCTTATAGATGCCTGTGCATCCTGGGTCTGGCCAATGAGTCTCAATGCTGAGACTTTGGAGGGAGCTCTCTGGAAAGAGAAGCTTTCTCTGTAATTGAGAAAGTAAACTGTGAGAATGTGAGTTTGGAGATGTCCAGTTAACCTACCTGAGATGGAACTTCACATAGACGAAGCAGAGAGAGAATTTTAGCGTTGTGAAGACATCATCAGACTCTGGATACAGCTGTGCCTGAAGCAGTTTTTTTTTTTTTTTTAAATATGTGAACCATTTTCCTAATGGGAGAGGGGATAGCACTAGGCCCACGTGCTTATTTAGCAGCCCACTACGCTCCACCCAGCTGCCCCATTATTGTTGTGAAACCTTTTCTGTAAAGATCCAGACTACAAATATTTGTGACTTTGCAGACCATGTTGTCATCTCTGTTGCAGCCGCTCAGCTCTGTGACTGTGGTGCAAATGCAGCCATGGACAATATGTACGTGAACGGACATGCCTGCATTCCGAGCAAATAGACAAAGTGAGTGTCTGGCTGTAGTTTGCTGACTCCTGTTCTGAACAGACAGCCTTCAATTTGCCACAGTCCTCACCATGCCACATTGCCTTACACCCAGTTTCCTTCCCTCATTTATAACACCTGGGTGGGCCCTACAGCCATCTGAATTTGGAGCCCCTACATTCTTCTTAAGGAAAGACGTTGAGAAACAAAACCCAGGAAGTCCTGTAAATCAGCTACTTGGGTAAATGAGAGGAAGGTAAAAAATCCTTCCACAATGATTATTGAGCAGCTATTGTGTAGGCATAGTCCTAGATATTTATACTAAATGACAGCACTGTGGGTACAGAAGAAAACAAAAGAGATTTAAAAAAAAGATTCCTACTCAGAGCTTTCTTTCGGTGGGAAATACACAATAAATAAATAAGATATATAGTGTGTTAGGGACAATAAATATGTTCCTTGAGATGAGGTTCTCATAGGTGTATACATATGTAAAATTTGTCAAACTGTGTACTTTAAATACATCTCACTTATTATATGTTAGTTACACTTCAGTAAGGCTTTTGGGGGTGGCGGGGGCTGGAAGGTGTCATGATGGTTAAGGCAGTTGGACTCCCATATGGCTGATCGCGGTTTGAGTCCTGGACCTGGCAGCTTACTTTCTCACTTTCCTTCTCTCTCTCTCTCTCTCTGTCTCTCTCTGGTCAACTTCAATAAAATAAAATAATGACAATGAATGAAATTAAATAAAATAATTCTTTTAAAAAATAAGACCTTTTTGAAAGAAATGAAAGAAATCAAAGTTTATCTAGAAAGATATCAAAATATAACTCAATTTTTGTCTCTTTAAGTATTGTTCCAAATATGTATGTTCTCTAATGTGCCATATGTGGCTTTCTTTTAAAAAAATGATCATTATCATTATTATTTTTAATTTGTTAGAGGGCATGTGTACTCACCAGAGAGAGACAGAGAATGTGAGTAAGCACCCCCCACAGAGGAATGACCAGGCCACAGTCCCTTCTGTTCTCCTCAGGATTTAAGTCTTGCATGCACACGCACCCAGCCTGTTTTTCAAGCTACCAGATATGGGACTCAAACCTATGAGCCATCCAGCTGTCTTAACCACCATCCCACTTGGCTGGCCCTATATTGCTATTTTTAATAAAGCGCTATTTTTGTTTTTATCTTTTAAAACACTATATGTTATGTCAGATGGCGATAAGAGCAACAGACAAAAATTAAGCAAAGAAGGGATGCAGGGAAGTCTGAGTGAAGGCTATAAATGGTGAAAGAGAGGTCAGAGAAAAATGGTCATTAAAATCTCAAAGGATACGCTAATTTCAAAGTCAACTCTACACTCACAGTCTACAGCCCTTTCCCTAGCTCTAACCTAACCCTCATGGCTCCTCTCCTCGCTCTGGATACACTTCGGGTTGCCACTGGCAGGGTTTAGGGATCCTTCCCTGCTGCACCGTTCACAGGTGGAGCCTTCCTGGTCTCTCAGCGGCATCTTGCCTCTTCTGACCCACCTTCCTTGTTAGCTTCCAGAGTTCAGTAATTCTGGCGAGGTTGCTTGACTTAGCAAAGACAACAAAGAGTACACCCTGTTAAACACCTTAAATACTAGAAATACTGGACGTCCTGAATTTTATCTGGCGACCCTAAATTCTGACTATGTCACTCCCCAGGAAATCAACTTGGGTTCTGAGTCTGCCTACAAAAGGTAGTTTTGGGGATTGAGGAGACTCCTCTTTCCATGACAGACCCCCAAATTAATGACTAGGGTCTCTCTCTTTTTTTTTTCTTTTTTTTTCTTTTTTCTTTTTTTTTGGCCTTAGGGCACATGTGCTCACTAGAGAGAGAGGAGAGAGAGAGAGAGAGAGAGAGAGAAGCATACATGGTGAGAGGGAAAGTGAGAAATCACCCCACAACCATGCTGCAATCCCTTCTCCTCCATTCTCCTCCCTGGCTCTTGGATGCACTCACACGCGTCCCTCGTGAATTTCAAGCCACCAGGTCTGGGATTCAAGCTGCACTCATCCATGTGGGAGTCCAGCGACATAACCCCTAGGCCATCTGCTGGTTCCAATGACAAGGCTCTCTTGATAGTGAACAAGAGGCTCACAATTCTCAGAGACAGGTATCAGTTGGGGGAAAGGGCCGGCAAAGTCCCTTAAGATTGCGTTAAGTAAAACCGGATGTTACCCTCACTGATTTATCAGCTTAACTGTTCAAAGGTCCAAGGCCCCCAAGTCTTAGAAAAGGCAGAGAAGCCCGCCACTGTCTACACAGAACTAACCTGGTCCCTGCTTCCTCCTTTGGGTGATTCATTTCCTTTTCTTGATTAAGATAACAAATAATGATACTGACTCTATATTAGTTATTTATCACTGTGTAACAAATTACCCCCAAACTTAGTGGTTTAAAAGGCAACATTTATCATCTCATGGTTTCTAGGATCAAGAATAGAGCAGAGCGTAGTACTGAGCAAGAGTTCAGAGTCTCTTGCAAGGTTGAAATCAAGGTGTTAGCTGGCCGGGACTACTGCAGCAGGCCAGCTGAAGGTTTAGCAGAACCACAGCCATTTTGAAATTTATAAAGGCCTCTAACGAGAATAATCTCAAGTGTTGAATCATGGGGACATCTGTTTGAGGGATGGTTAGATGAGAAACCAAGAGTGGGGATTTGAAGTAAAACAGGAATCAGGACAACTGGGGGGGGGGGAGTGTTTGCCTCTGTAGTGAGGAATGATTGGTAGGTGCTTATATCTTCTATCTATAAACACTGAGGAGCTGCTGAGCTGGTTGAGACATCAGGGTGGTGCTTGCTGACTGTCACCCTGGAACCCAGTTGCAGAAATTAACTCCCTTCCCCAGCCTCTGCCTCTCATTTCATTGACTGAGAGTAGAAGCAACTGAACTTAATGTGCCAGTAACAGCACTAGGCTGGGGTGGATTTGTGGCAGGATCTGGCTCATGGGCTGTGGATCTAGGGCCCGTGTTTCTCACCAGCTATTGCCCTGAGGTATTAGGCATGTGATTCAATAGATTCTTGTCAGACAGCCTCCATAGGCAGCTCCCAGCACAGTAGGTCAATGAGTAAGAAATCAAGAGATAGTGAGATGGAAATGACCTAATCCTAAAACAACATCCACTGCTTTTGCTATATCCCATTGGTTAGAAGTAACTGGCTAGATCCCATCCACCCTGAAGGGCAGGACATGGCAGCTGGTGAATACCAGCAGGTGATCACTGGGAGCCATTTTAAAAATGGCTGCCCCACCATTCAATTACAATTTTTCCTCTCTCTTTTGGGAGCAACAAATGCAAGAGGTTCTCTAATCTCTGGACGAGATAGAGGCCAACATGTCATGACTCAGTGCAAGCCAAAGAGCCAAAAAACGCCGTGTTCTTTCCCATCAGATACCATCTACAGATTATTGCTATGGTTTGACTGTTCCCTCCAAAACTCGTGGTGCGATTGAATTACCTTCACACGGCCCAGACAGGGGCACAGCAGTGAAACTAGATGCTCTGGAGGCTCACCTACATGGGGAAGTGCCCAAAATCCCGAAAGGAAGGAGAGATGGAGGAGAAGAGAGTGCAGCGTGACCATGTCCCATGGAGGAAGGCTGCTTTCTCCTCTCCCTCTCTCTCTCTCTCTGCCTCTCTCTCTGGTGAGTGCATGTCCCTTCTAGCAAAAATAAACCCACATTTCCTGATCCTGTCCTCACGGCCTTAAATGATCTGGCCCTAGCTAGTGGCTTTCTCCAGCCCAGATCCCTCCACTCTCCCTGTCAACTTCTGCCCCAGGCCCTCTGCCTTAATTTCTCATGTCTTTTATGCCCTGCAACCTGGATCCTGCCTGAGAGCCTTTGGCCGGCTGTCCCCTCTGCCTGTCCGCTCAGATCTCAGATCTCAGCTCTGACATCTGTGCTCAGCCAGACTCAGCCTAAGCGGCCCCCTGGGCCTCCCTGGCCACCCCAGCTCAGTCCCTGCCTGCTTTTACCACTAGGCGTTTCTCTGACACCTTCAGCTTTTTATTTTTCACCCTCCCCCATGCCCACTAGCATGTTCACTGCACCCTGTCGTGTTCTCCAGCCGACCCCAAGCCTTCCAGTACCAGGCTCACCATGAGCGTCCCAAACTAAGAGTGGAATGATTGAATGGATAATGCATTGGGGGGAGTGGCGTTTGGACAGCTCAAGTGGGTCGTGTGAGTGTCGGTCAGTGTAGATGCGTGTGTACTCATGCTGTGGAGGCCAGACAAGTGTGGGCCGCAGTGATTGGAGAAATCTCCCTCTGAAGAGGCCAGGGGAAGGCGGTGCGTGGGGGCCTTACCCCGGAGAACTACCGCTGGGGGACCCGGAGAGGAGAGCGGGCCTGGAGGAACTCTGCCAGAACCAGGCTGGCCAGGGGAGGTCCTGGCGGGCCGGGGGCGGTCCCGGGCTCCCCTCGGTTCCGCCTCTAGGCGCAGGGGGCCTCGGCTCGCCGACGTGGCGGCGGCGCTGCGGGCGGGCTGGCGGCCCACGCCACCGAGCCCTGCTCGCCATGGGTAAGTCCGGATCGGATGTTGCCAGCCAGGAGCCCGGCCATCCCCGGGTTGTACGCACCTCCGCGACCCCAGGAATGCGCGCCCCTTCGCCCTCCCCTGCAGCGCCCCCACCGGATGCGGCCACTCGGGTGACAGCGGGGACCACAGGCCTTTGGAGGGGGCTGGGAAGTGGCTTGGAGGCTCTTCCCGCCGCCGTCCTCCCTAATGCCTGAAAAACAAAAGTGCCCCAAGAATGCCCCTTCCTCCTTAAGAGCGCCTATTCCAGGCCAGGACCTCTGGACTGCTGTGGTCTGACAACGCCCCCAAGTGAAACTGTCCCTGTTCTGAAAGGCGCAAAGCCACTGTTGCCCCCTGTGCACGTGCTGGGCCGGGGCCGCCCAGAACAAACGGACAGACCCAGCTCTCACCTGGTTCAGCTGAGAGGAGCAGGAAACCAACAGGTTCTCCTACAGAGCTGGGAGGAAATTTCCTTGTTAACAGACTAAGATTCCTATTCTCTCTGAATTCAGAAACCTCAAAGTGTCATCAAGTCGTTCATTCTCTCCTGAGCACCTACTGTGTGCCGGACACTGCTCTAGAGGTTGAGTGACCAGGACAGCCCAGCCCTCCCTCTGGCGGAGCCGGCATTCTGGCAGAGGAGCTGGGTGGACAGGGACCTGAGTAAAGTGATTGTCGGGAGCCAGAGGGGCTGCGGACAGGATGGCGTGTTGGTGTGAAGGCAAGGGAGCAAGATGGGTGGGGATCCTGGAGGAGGAGGCCTTGGCTCTGAGACCTTGCTCAGAGGTGGGCCTTGCAGAGATGGG